TTCAACCTCCTTCCCCTTCCCTTCCCTTCCCTCACTTCCTCCATCCATCTCTTAATGCTGAGTCTCACTACTGCCAAGCCCTCTGCATGAATTCTCCCCGGAATCTTGTTGAGGCCCACAGGTAAATACCAAACCAGATAAATAACCTCACCTCCATGTGGGGCTACACCCCTATCTCCCACACAGACACTCCTTGTTAAATGACCGGATTATGGTCCTGCCACTGAGTCGTTAAATGAATTGGTTGCTAAATGAGGAAAGGTATATAGTATGTACAATATTCAGAACGAAGAAATGCTCAAAGGAAACTCCAGTGTGATGACTTTGCTTTTGTTTGTGACTCTTATATGCAGTACTGTGATGTATAACAGAACATACAACTACAGTACTGTGCCAACCAGTTCAATCAGCAAAATTACAGTACTATACAAAGGTGTACTGTATAAAAATACATTGAGGGCCAGGGATTTAGCTCAGCGGTTCAGTGGCCTGCCTTGTAAGTGCAAGGACCAGAGTTCAATCCCCAGTACCCCCCCCAAAAAAACATTGAGGCTCTATCAACGTAAAGTATGGAACTATACAAAAAAACGATGGGTCATAAGTCTGAACAGTTGATAAACAGGTTGTTAAATGAGGAGTGTCTGTAAATGACTTCTAAGTCAACTTTCAGCTTTAGCATCTATTTCATCTGAAATTTAAAACAAATCTAGCTCTCATGTTTTTAACAAGGATGCCTCCCAACATTTGATGGTTTAGTCTCATTTCATGGACGCCCTTCTTCTCTCTCTGTGAATATAATTTTGCATTTAAAATGTGTGCTATTACCCATATTTTAAAATTTCCTCCGTGTCAGTGTTCTGTCTGTATTATTTGTTTCACTTTGTTCCATGTTAGAGACTCCAATGCATGGCACTCCCCGCTTGTCCACTGATAAGCAGCAGGATGCGAAGATGCTGACAGATATGTGGACAAGCACTGACAAGTGCGGGATACACCTGTTTTGGGCAGACTCCTGTGTCAGTATCCGTAGGTCCATTTAGAGGAATGGTGGTGGGGTTGTCTTCCTAGATGAGGCTCTTTCCTGCCCAGCAAATGTAAGCTTGGCACTTTGAAGCCTGTGGGCTGTGGAGAATCTTTCCTTCAGGGTCTTGCTGTTTCCCCTGGTGCCTTATCTTCAGAGGCCAGCTGAGTCTGCCCCTTGCAGTTTCCCCTGCATCTGGCTGAGGTCCAGGCACTGTCTGTCCTAAGTAACTGACATGGAGCCTACTGTTGCACCACTCTTGGGGTAGTTACTTTATTTCTTCCAATAGATTATTGACATGGACAATTAAACTTGCTCCTATCAGTCATGGACCCAGAACTTCAGTTCAGTCTTTCTGCTTTCCACTTCCTAAATAGTAATCCATCTGTCTCTTATTAGTACCCGTCCTATTTTGGAGGAGGATTTAAACCTTTTCCTCTCCTTGCGGCCATTTTAGTGGGGTTCTAGGTGAGAGAGGGCACAGACAAACGTACCTGTTCTGATCACAAACACAACGAAGACTAACATCACATTTTGGGTATGGGTGGCCATGTCTGGTTAGCATGACTGAGGGGCAGTCACTGCGAGTGCGGTCCTTCTACTCCATCCCATCATCCGTTCCTGCTGAGTCCAATGCAAGTGCTGTGGCTGCAAAGGTATGCAGAGCTGTGGCTTGAACTCCGCACCACCCCTGGGGAAATGATGGGTCAGCCTTTAAGATTCGGAACGTGAAAGCACCAGAACTGAAGGTGTGTGCATGAAAATGGCATATACATGTGACGGGGCCGATGATTAGCACCAGAAGGTGAAGACTGTTGGTGAGGTAACAAGGGATTTATAATTCTATTAATCTATTCCCAGTTTTTCTATAATGCATTGGTATTTGCCAGAAATGTTTAAGGTATTTAAAATTTTTCACCCTGTAATTCAGCCATTCTACTTGGCAACACTCTAAGAAACAAAGACCTGTGTGAAGATGTAGCTACAGTAACATTCATTCCAGAAACACTTATGCTAGCATTATATTAGAAAACCAAAGTATCCAAAGACTGTTGGATTATGGGGCCATTAAAGATATTAATAAAGTGATGTACATGACATTATAAAGGGAGGAAGGCTTACAAAGCATTATGTGCAGCATCTTTGTGTGTGCACGCACACTATGGACTGAGCCCAGGCCTGGTACACTCAGCATGCTCTCTACTTCTGGGCCACAACCAGAGCCCCATGGCCCCATCTGTAACACACGCAAAGAAAGAAGGATCAGAAGACAAACACCACAGCATTGAGAGCAGTTCCTCCAGAGCCAAGGATAAAGGATTTCAGGCTGATGCTTTGCCCCAGGCTTGTTTCAAGTCTGCACACCCACACACCCAGCTTTCACAGGCCCCAGCAGCTCCACCTTCTCACTACGGACCAAGGAGGGGCTGGGAGAAAGGGCAGGTAAGGAGGTGGCAGCAATATCTGAATCTGCGCTCAGGCTAAGTCCCGGAGGGCATCTCCTGAGCACAGGGGGTTCAAGCGGGGTATGAAACGCCATTTCCAGAGAAGGCTTTTGCCAGTTCCTCAGTTATCGGTATCACTCTGGATACTGCTATCTGCTTCCCACAGTATGGTTTTCCAGAACATCTGCATAGAGCAAACGAAGGGCAGTCCTGAGATTACAAACCTACGGCAAGATATACAGAGGGCACTACACACCTCAAATTCTGCCTGGTTGTTTTTTCACTCTTTGAGCCTTCTAATTCTCTTGCAGTTATACTGCCTTTGTATTTTTGAAAAGCAATTAAGCTATGTGTAGTGGCACACACCTGTAATCACAGCACTCTGGAAGGCTAAACTAGGAAGACTTGAGAGTTCAAGCCCAGCCTGAGCAATCTAATGATCAATCCAGTGAAACCTTGTCTCAGAGGGGTGGGGGGATGTAGCTCAGTGTGAAGGGCCTAGTAGTACAACACAAAACAATTGAAAAATACTGAGAATCTAATCTGTAAAAATATAACTGTTCCAGCTCTAAACTAAAAGATAAAACTGCTTTAGTGCTTGCCAAAGAATTCCTGAGTTTGAACTTGGTATCCACTCCCTGTCTCTAAGAGGTTCCCTAATCCAGGGATGAACAGTGAAACACCACAGTCCTTAAATTCAGTTTGCTTTAAGAATTTATTTTTAGGGCTGGGGATTTAGCTCAGTGGTTCTGCTGCCTGCCTTACAAGCACAAGGGCCCGAATTCGATCACTGGTACCAAAAAGAAAAGAATATATTTTTATAGCTGTAACTAAGTTTAAAATAATGTTCTATTTATTTACTAAGAAGTCATACTAGGAAGAGCTGCCTTTTTAAGCAAATGGCTTATTTTTCAGGTTTCTTCGAAAGCTAATATTTAAAGGTCTTTTGTTTTTTGAGACATGATCTCCCTAGCCAAGCTGTCCTTGAACTTGTAGAGATCCTCCCATCTCAGGCCTCCAGAGTACTGGGATTACAGGTGTGTGCCACAACACCCAGCTCAAAAGTCTTTCTGTATGCACTGGACATGTGGCTTTCATCTTTAACGTATGTATTAGCTCTTTTTGTTTTGCATTACTGATGTTGGAAATTGAAGCCTCAGCTTCCAACACTGAGCTACCCCTCCAGTCTGATGGGTCAGATTTTTTTCTTTTCTTTTCTTTGGTTTTTTGACAGGGTCTCCCTTTCTAGTTCAGGCTGGCCCTGGACTCAACTGTATAGCTCAGGCTGGCCTCAAACTCGCAGTGATGATCCTCCTGCTTCAGCTGCCTGAGTGCTGGGATTATAGGCGTGCACCATCATGCCCAGCTCAGAGTTAGCTTTTTGAAATGCCTGTCTTCTACGGAATTGTGAACACTTATGAAGTGCCTTTTACTGTCAGTATGAACACGAAGCAATGACAGCGGTAGGTGCTGACTCCTTAAAATCACTTGACTCTTGCTGTATTTGAATCACCAAAAACAAATCTGAAGACAGTGGAGATACACTACAAACTCTATGACTAGGGGAAGGGAGCTCCCTTAAGTAGAAGGGTAACAATTTAGTAGGCTGGCTTCCTCCCAACATTCTTTTCAGAACAAGAGCCTACATGATCCTCAAGCATTCTTTTCTCTTTGGTACTGGGGATCAAACTCAGGCCCTTGTGCTTGTGAGGCTGGTGGCAGAACCACTGAGTTAAATCCCCGGCCCCCTCAAGCATTCATTTTTTTTTTTTTTTGGTACCGGGGATCGAATGTGGGTCCTTATGCTTGCGAGTCCGGCTAAATCCCCGGCCCTCAAGCATTCTTATATAAGGAAAGATGACTGAAATGTTGAAAAGTGTCCTGGTTCTGAAGGATGCATTCTTTCCCATTTCAACATTTGCAAGGCACTAGGATGAGATCAAGATCTAGTTACCTACAGCCTGGGCAAATAGACCATGATATGCTGGGAATTTAACTCAGTGGTGCGGCCGCCTGCCTCACAAGTGCAAGGTCCCAAGTTCGATCCCTGGTACCAAAAAAAAAAAAAGACCATGCTAAAATGAGGCAGTAACTTGTAAGCCCCCGTTGGCTCCCCCAGTACTGATTAAATATTCTCACATTTTTGAAAGGCGGCCCAAGTATTTCCTTGAAAGAAACATTTATTTATGATCTTTATTGGTTAAACAATTTCAAACAAATCCAGAACAGGTTTTCACATTTTGAGCCTTTAGTACAGAGACTATGCCATGCAGGAAATAAAATATTTATCCAGTGACATTCTCCCCTGATGCATTAAAGTATTAGGATGATCAGGCAGAAGATGATTTAAGTGACAGATATCTGCTCATAAATCTGCTTGAAAAAGAACATGAGTTCACACCTCATATAAAGGTTTTTCACAATGTAAATGTCCTTAAACTTATAGTTTCAAAACAGAACACCCAAGAACCATGTATCTCTTTAAATAAAAAAAATAATTTATACTCTTTTTAAAAGAATTCCAACAATTTAAAATAAGTTCCAATCCCATATATATATATATATGTATATATATATATAATATATATGTACATTTATAACTTAGGTGCTCTTTTGCACTGTAAGCTTTTATTCATGCAACAGTGGAGAGACTGGGCCTGAGGCTCTACAGAGGCCTTTCTGAGAAAGCAGTGTAGCTCCTCACTCTGGCGAAGAACAAGGGTGTGTACATCTTGTCGATCTCAAAAGCACTGACTGCTGTCTCACCAGTTGATCTGTAAAGAAATCACCAAATTACAAGAAAATTTCAACTCCTTTCAAATCCTTGTGTTTGTTGAAGGCAATTTATTTTATGCATTAGCCTTTTATTTTCAATTCATCTCAGTAAATTTTAAATAGCGCACTGTAGAACACTTGAAACATTCAGAGAAGTATTTAAAAAGTCACTCATCATTCTACCACCTATACAGCCACATGAAGGGCCTCCTGGTAGTGTTTCTTCCGTTAACTCAACCTCTCTGTGGAGAGATTGGACTCTACTGGAAATCCTGCTTCTTTTCACTGAAAATTCTGACAGTACACATTTCTTGTAAAGAACCATTTTTATGACTACATATTATTACACTTTTTCCTTACCCTACTATTTACTTCATAAGTCCCCTCTGGGAGATTTACTTTTATGGTACGTAGCTATTAAAATAATATGGTATTTTTGGTTATGTTCTTCAAGTATATTCCTAAGAGAATTTCCAAGTCAAAGGATACAATTTAAAACTCTGGTTAAAATGTGTTATTTGCTATTAATCAACAGCAAAATCATAGGCAGGGGAGGGGAAATCAGGTAATATAACATGCTACCACAGCCTTTTATTACTCTTCTCCCCCTAAAAAGAAAAATAAGCAAAAGCAGGAAATTCTAGAGACTTTATACATATTACAAGAAGTCAACATGATCACTAGAAGCTGCAATCATATAAATGATGCCTGCCCAGTACCCTGTGTGGCTTTGCTTTTGTAACATGTTAACTCCGGGAACTCAAAACAGACATCTAGGCTGATCTTGGTAATTTTTTATTGCGTTCACCCACTTGTAAGAAATGTGACAAGAATGATGGATCCAAATGAGTTTGTTGAATCTCTGGTGGCCACTGGAACACAGCTGTAGACCCACATGAAAACTATGCTCTGATTCTTGTACGGGTACACGACGAAAATATCTATATTTATAATCAAGTGGTTTCTGTAAAAGAAAAGGTGCCATTATGAAACTTACATTATATATTCCTAGGAACATTAGTTAACAGTGACACTAACATATACAAGAAAGACTTGTCTTGATATCCCATGAAAGTGAATGTCTTGAAAATGTTTAGGTACTCTAACAAGACCACGTTTCTTTCCATCATCACAGTAACTCCATGTGTGAAATGACTGCACATTTCTATACAATGGCTGAAAAATCGAAGATCTGGGGAGGTCAAACAAGTTAACCAAAGTTACACAGCAGTTGTGAAGCTTCTATTTCTTTCTACTAGTAAACAGCTGGGGATTTTTTGAGAGAGAGAAAGTGATGAACTGATGAAGACTGCAGAAAAAGAGTGTAACTTACCTTTTGCAAATACTGCTGCTAAAAATCACAAAAATGTAAACTCTGAATAGTTTCATTACAAAAGAAAAGAAACCAAAAGTCTGCATGGGCATTCCTAAACCCTTTTATTAGACAAAAGCAGCAACAACGAGGGCCTCACAAGTCCCACCTCTGAGCTTAGAAAAGGCACAGTCACAGCCAACACAATTATCTCTGTCCCTCAGACTGCTGCCCTACATGCCACGAGCCAGTCACAGGAAGGGAGGTGGTCACAGACGGTAGGAGTGAGCTGAAGCGCTGACTGCACAACGCTAGAGAACAGAGGGGTGTAGATGAAAATTTCGTTCAAAAACTCTAAAACTTAGGGGCCGGGGATTTAGCTCAGTGGTTCCGCTAACGCTTCGCAAGTGCAAAGACACGAGTTCGACCCCCGGTACCCAAAATACAAAAAACAAAAAAACTCTACTACTTTAAAGGCAACAAGGTAATATTTATTCCAACTCCTTCACAACTGATTTTATATGTTTTTTAATCAAGATTTTTTTTGTGGGGGGGGTACTGGGGATTGAACTTAGGACCTTGTAACCACTAAGCTAAATCCCCAGCCCTTATTTCAAGATTTTAAAAATGCATAAGGAGAATTTTTTTGAAAAAACTAGGCCTTCAATCTGTTCAGGGAATTTAAAGTCTCTAGAATATAATAAATATCAGTAATTATGTTTGCTTGCCCCTCCAACTCCCCCATGTCCTTTGGCAAAAACAGGAAGAAAGCAAGCTCATTTTTAGTAGAAACTGAAATTCTGTCTAAAAAAAAAAAAAAGAAAAAAGATCTAGATGGGTCACTTTCACTTTTAAGGAAGAAAAACCACCATCATTCAAACTGAGAAGAGCAAAAAATATATTTAGGTGCAATTTTGCTAGTTATTTCAAGGGAGATTTTGTCTTATCTTTTATGTATAAAAATACTGAGCTAAAAAAGGAAACTATCTAGAGAAAAACTACCTGATCCAATAAAAGCAAACAATCTAAAAATTCCAGCTTTCTTCAGAGATATAATGAAAGTGTTTCACTCTAATTGAAAACGCTTAAATGAGTACATTATTGAAATAAGAAAACTGTCAAGTCCACCCTATATACTCACTTCTTCTTTCTTCTTAGTTATTACAGCAAATACTTTGGTCTGATTGTCTGTATCTTGTGACAAGCGATAATGACCCAGTAGAATTGCATCAGTTCTAAAAAAATAAATACATTTTAAATCTAAATGTACTAATCAATTACTATGTGTATTTCAGTGATCCATGGAGGTATGAACTAGGAAGTCATGACTGCTTTTATAATCATGCAGCGCTGAGTTAACCTGGACAAGGCGACTGGTCAGAAAACTACAGATAATACTACCTGGTATTCTTAGTTCTTAAGCGAGGAACAATGGACTGAGGCTCCTCAGGGGTTGTCAACATCATCACACAACCATCAGGAAAGAATCTTAGGTACCTATGTGAAAAGACAAAGACACCAAAACACACCACACACACATAAAGTACGAAACATGCTCTTAGTTTTCAGTACCCAAACCTACTCAGAGATGTGAAATGGAAACTGAAACACCACAGGCCAAAACAATATCATTAAAACAAACATAACTGACAATCTTCAGCCTAGCAACAAGGCACTAAAGGCATTTTATTCTTTTTCTTAGTGAGAACTTTTAATATTATTTACAACATAAAAATTAGATATTACACTTTTATTAAAGTTCTACGTTTTCCGAAAGCCCTAATTTATGTCAAATAAAAGTGTAATTTAAGTTAACACACACTAGTTTATAGGAGTCTGCTTATTTCTCAATAATAATAATAATACAGTAAGTCCCCAACTTATGAATGAGAGAGTTGGTAATTGTATTTGTTCGTAATCCAACAGAGTAAGTCTTATGTAGTACATGTGTAAGAGTTTATAACTCCAATGTTTGTAAGTCAGAGAATTACTGTTCTATCTGTTGAACACTAAGGCTGGATAAAAGCACAAGTTATTTTAAAAGACAAATGTATACACACCTGTAACAAAGGAAAGCTCAAATATAATTTACAAGCTAAGAGAAAATATGCTTTTTATTAACCTGATTTTAAGCGCAGTTCCTATGTCATAATACTGGAGAAAAACACTGAAGGTCATTTTGTGGATAAATCAAAGGAACAGACTAAATAACTTGTGTGCTAATACTTGGAGAGAGAGAATTTTCCACTCACTCAGTGTACTACAGCTGTACCTGTAATATTCCACTTGGTGCCAGGCTCTGTAGAAACCATCAAGAGACTGTTCCCCTTGACGAATATATGTGGTTTTACTGATATACACTCCTGTAAAAATTTTAAGAAAATAAAACTTTAAAAGTTAAAATCATATGACACATCTAGCTTTATTTTTGTTGTGGTTTCCATTAAAGAAGCTCAGAGTTCTTATGCCAATTATAGGAAATTCACAGGTCACACAGTTTCTTCTGAGTTCTAGAATCCAACTCACCATCAAACCGAACACGAGGCCGTTCTAAAAACATCTCTCTCCAGGATGAGTATGGAACAAGTTTAACGCAGCTTCTACCCCACACTTTCAAGCAGGCCAGCCGCCATATTTCAGGGTCTCTGCACAAAAAAGCATTAACATCAATGAATCTAAAAAGCTGAGTCCCTACAGGTAGACATAATATTTTTGCTATCAGCCACCCTTTATTCAACAAGTACTTGTCGAGCACTAGAAAGGTGCTACAAAGACAATGACAGACAAGGCAAAGTCCCTGCCCTTTTAGCAGTGGAAGAGAAAAAGTCCCAAGTAGTATGCTAAGGGCAAAACTCACCCAACAGACAGAGTAAAGGATGCAGACTGGAATGATGGTGTTGAGACAGGGAAATACCTCTGGGAAGGAGACTGAAGTAATGGGAAGAGCATCCTGGGCAGCAGCCACTGCAGGGCAAGAGTCTGAGGTGCAAGTATGACTGGGGGCCTCAGTAAAGAGCCAGAAGGGGAAATGCAGCAAAGGAAACAAGGTGCGAATGGACTTCATGATCCAAGAGATAGAAGGGGCAGATGATGTACTCTTTCAAAAGGGGGTGGCTATTTACACAACCTCCAAGCCACTGTGGCCATGATTTATTCTTTGAAAAGAACACACAGAGGACAAAGCAAGATGGCAGAACTGGACTCAAATCCACCAGAAACCTTAGAGCTGAAAAATACAATGAACCTAAATGATGAAACATAACAGAGTATCAACAACAGAACCGAAAAAGCAGAAGAATCTGTGAACTTGAAGGAAGGTTATTTGAAAACATACGAGCAGAGGAGAAAAAAATAATAAAGCAATGAAGATTATAGAGCTCACGGGACAGCACCAAAAGAACAAATATATTAGTGTCACTGGCATTCTAGAACACAGAATGATGAAGAGGTAAAAGTTTATTTAACACATTCATGATGGGGCCATAATTATGTTTTGTTGGCTGGAGGCTCTGATTTGAATTTGCCCCTGCCAGCCTGAACGCTATGGACACGTATGACTGTCCTATCAGGTGGCTCCTACCACTTCTTAGGGGGCCTTTGATTACAGTAATGCAAAGAAAAGGCACTGATTTAGCATACTTGATGTCATGCTGTTACGGTTAAGGAAAATAGTAAAATGGTATAAACAATTGTAATACAGTTAATTTGTGGTACAGAAGTTGTAAATCCATATTATATACACCAGCAATGGGGGACTTATAAAGTTTCCATGTTAAAATTTAAAGACTTAATTACTGATAAACTATTCATGAATATAAATTTTTTAATTTAATGAAATAAATTTGATTATAATATTTTTAAATGGTATGAATAGTATTAATATTTTTATATGGGCAGTGATTATTCAAATTCAAACAACTAACCAGATGCAGTCCATTTATAGAACATTTATTAATTTTACTAGTAAAAATACCAGTAAGAGTGATATGTACTATCAGTGGTATAAACGGCCCGATGGGACAGTGGCTACATTAAAAAAATAACAGCAGAAAACTTTCCAAACCCAAAAGTACAAATACAAAGGTTCTGAAAGGGGAGAAGGAGGGAAGGGGGAGGGAGGCAAGTAACATATAAGAAAGTTCTGGTGCACCTAGCAGGTTTCTTGCCAGAAACCTGAAAGGCCAGGAGAGAATGGGATGATATACTGCAAGTGCTGAAAGAAAGCTGCCAGCCTGAGAAGGATCCAAGACAGCTGAATAAAAGTGACACAGAGAAGAGGCAACAAAGGAAAACCCTTCTCTTGAGAAGAATGACTGAGGGAGACCTCTGAAAATGGACAAGGAAGTGAGGAGAAGCCTCAACATCATGGCATCAACCTATAGAACAACTTTAACTCTGGTTTCCTGGCTGGGGAAGATCTCCATACTGCCAGGGAAAGGTAATAAGCAGCAAGTACCATCGACTGCTGTCACAGCAGTGGTTGTGGGTCCTCACTGCAGGGGAATCCCACAGTCCTCAGAGGCTTTATACTCAGGCTGGGAGCTGGCTGATCACGAGTGACTGCCCAGCTACAAAAAAGGAACAGATATTGGGTCTCCCTCAAGCCCCAGATTCCCAGTTTCTACAACAGCCATAGCTAAGATGACATTCTGCCTGTGGGGCCAGCAGCCAGTCCATTGCAGCCCCAAGCCCAGGTCACAATCATGCTTGTCCCATGGGAACTAGGGGAGGCTCCTTCCCCATCCCAGAGTCTTGGCCCTGCAGCTGCTGGGGTAAAGTCTCAGCCTCAACTGTTCCTGTCCATCAGGAGCTGGGGAAGGTCCCAGCTGCTTTCTGCAGCTCCAATAACCCAATTCCCCACATCTCCCATGCTCATCCCTCAAGAATGCGGAAGATCCCTGCTCTAAGTCTGGATCTAGAATGTCCCCCAAGGCCCATGTGTTCATGGTCTTGGTCCTCAGCCTGTGGTATGCCTGGGATGAGGTGGGGCCTATTGGAAGAAGTTGGGCAATAGTGGGCAATCCCTGGAAGGGATACTGGGGTGCCGGTCTCATCCTCCCTTTGCTTCTTAGTTGCTTTGCTACAGAAACAAAAGCAACAGAGCAATGACCATGGACTTAAACCTCTGAATCAGTGAGCCAAAATAAAACTTGCCCTTTAAATTGCTATTTCTGGTATTCTGTCACAGTGATGGAAAGCTGACTAACATAGATCCCATCCATGCCTGCAGCTCCAGAAACACAACTACCACAGTCCAACCTTAGCACTGCCTGCGCTTGTCTGATGGGAACTAGGGACATTCTTCTCTTCCCCAGCCTAAAGCCGTGGGACTACAGGGGCTGGTGTACGAAGTCCAGCTTCAGCCACCCCTATTCTGCTGCACCTATCCCACAGATACTAGGAAAGTGTCGATCTGTGACTTCCAGGAATGCAGGTACCAGTGTTCCAAATGGTACCACCTGTACTTGCCCTGAGAACTAGGGAAGGTCTCCTTCTCAGTCCACAGCCTTGAGACTACAGCTGCTGATGCAAACAGCTCCCTATTCACCCAAGCTTGTCCCTTGGGAACAGAGGAAGGTACTACTTGTGTCCTGAAGCTTCAGGGCTACGGATTCCAATGTCCAAGTCTCAGCCCCACCAATGCTTGTCCCACATGACCTAGGGACAATCCACATCCTGCAGTTCCAGGACAACAGATCCCAAAGCCCTAAGTCCCAGTACCACTCATGCTTGGCCCATGGGCTCTAGGGAAGGTTTTACATCCTACATCCTCAGGAGCACAGGTGCCACAGTATAAGCCCAAATGTTACCTGCACACATTCTGTGAGACCCAGCTCACAGTCATGGGCTAATAGCTTCTGCTGGTGTCCAATTTCCTGGCATCATTTATGCTCAGGATCTGGTGAAGTAACCATCCAGACTTTACAGCTCCAAGTTAGTGGCTTCCAGTGCTACAAGGCCCAGAACCACTCACAATCACCCCAGGGGAAGTAGCAAAGGTCCCCTCTGTGCATCCCAAAATCTCAAGTCTGTCATAACCCGTGCCACAAACTCCAATATGTATCCTGTAGGACCTGGAGAAAGCCCTATCCCAATTCTGTGGCTTCTAGTGCTCAGGGCTAGGCATCTCCTATATTCATCCTAAGGGTGCCTGGAAGGTCTCCTTCACATTCTATGACTTGAGGACCCTGGCTGCTAGTGCCACAACCCTCGGTGTTACCTGTGCTTGTCCCAAGTGATATGGGGAACAGCCCTCTCCACATCCTTCACCACCAAGACTATGGTAGCTGCTGCCACAAGCCCCTATACCATCAGTGTTCAACTCTGCAGCCTGAAGACAAACACCTTAGGAAGCCTACGCCTGTTGTAACTACTTTCACGAACCACAGTAGTGGTTGACACTGCTGATATGAGTCAGAGGTGAGAAAATCACACAGAGCACGCCTATAATCAAAGCCAAAGCAAGCATAACTGGCACCCTATGTCCCATCCAAATAAAAACTACATCTGTTCCACTAAAGTGGAAAAAGCAAATGTTATATCAAACGTGTAGAGATCAATGTAGGAAACAAAGGAAACATGAAAGGAACATGACACCCCTGAAGAAAAACAATAACTCTGCAGAAATACATTCCCATTTGAAGGAAATCTATGAAGTGACTGAAAAGAATTCAAAATCATGATTCTACGAAAACTCAGTGAGACATATGAGAACATGGACAATAGAAAAAAAGAAGAAAAACAATTGAGGGTACAAATGAGAAACTCACCAAAAAGGTAGATTTCATTAAAAAAAAAAAATCACAAGTTTCAGATTCACAGACCTCAACTAATGAAATAAAATGAAGAACTTCCAAAACAGACTAGAACAAGTAGAATAATTTTCAGAATGAAGAAAGCTTATAAAATATACAGGATAACATTAAGAAAGGAAATATTTAACTTATTAAAATTGCAAAAGGCAAAGAAAAGGCATCAAAAATCTGTTTCACAAAATAATAGCTGAAAGCTTCGCAAATCTTCAAAGAAATATGAACATCCAGATACAAGAGATTCAAAAGATCGCAACCACATTCAACCAAAATAGACCCTCACCAAGGCATATTACATTCAAAATGTCAAAGGTACAAAACAATTCTAAAAACAGCAAAAGCTTCAAGTCATATAAGGAAATGCCCACTGTATTTACAGCAGATGCCTCAGCAGAATTCTTACAGGTTAGAAGAAAATGATATGTATATTCAAAGTCCTGAAGGAAAAAACAATACCAAGAATACTATACCTAATGGGCCAGGGATGTAGCTCAGTGGTTTGGTGGCCTGCCTTGCAAGCACAAGGACCCGAGTTCAATCCCCAGTACCAAAAAAAAAAAACCAAAACAACAAAAAAAGAAGCAAAAGAATACTATACCTAAGGGGCCAGGGATGTAGCTCAGTGGTTTGGTGGCCTGCCTTGCAAGCACAAGGACCCGAGTTCAATCCCCAGTACCAAAAAAAAAAAAAACCAAAAAAACAAAAAAAGAAGCAAAAGAATACTATACCTTTTTTGTCCTTCAGAAGTGAAGGAGAAATATTCTGTCTCCAATAAGCAGAAACTAAGAAAACTCATTATCACCAGGCTAACCCTACAAGAAATGCTTTAGAAAATTCTAGACTAAAAAGGATAACCATTATCATTAAAACACACAAACATACTAAGCTCAACAGAATACTTGTAAAAGAAGAGAATCAAACCTTAGCATGACAAAAGCACTAACAAATTTTTTAAAAAGTGGTGAAAGGAACAAAAAATATGCAAAGCAATCAGAAAACAATTAATGAAAATGACAGGAAGAAGTTCATGCCTGTCAATAATCTCAAATATCAATGCATTAAATTAATGAATCAAAAGATAAAGAATTGCAGAAAAAGAAAGGAAGAGCCAACAATATGCTGCCTATAAGAAATTCACTTCACAGGTAAGGAACACAGACTGAAAATAAAGGGTTAGAAAAAGTTGTATTACACAAATGAGAACCAAAAGTGAGCAAGATTAGCCACACTCACATCAGATAAAGCAGAATTAAATAAAAAACTGTAAAAAAGATACAAAGAAAGTTATTCTATACCCATAAAAGCATCAACTTAGTGAGAAGATATCAGCCAATATGGGGCCACTCAAATACATAAAACAAACATTAAACTAAAAGGAGAGACTCCAACACAACAACAGTTGCGGATTTCAACACTGCACTTATGTTGATGGACAGATTATCCAGACAGAAAATTAAAAAAAAAAAAAAGTCTGAGGTGAACTACTCTATAGACCAAAAGGGACCTAACAGACATGGTTATAACATTTCATCTAAAAGTAGCAGAACAGGCTTGGAGATTTGGCTTAGTGGTTCTGCCGTCTTCCTGGCAAGTACAAGGTCCCAAGTTTGATCCTGGTACCAATAAATAAATAAAATAAAAGTAGCAGAACAGGCATTCTTCTTCTTCCTCTTCTTCTTTTTTTTTTTTTGAGACAGGGTCTCACTATGTAGTTGAGAATGACCTGGAACTCACTATGTAGCCCAGGCTGGTCTTGAATTCACAGCAATCCTCCTGCCTCAGCCTCCTGTACAAGTGTGCACCACCATGCTAGGCGGCATTCTTCTCATTAGCACATAGCACATTCTCCAGAAGAGATCACATTAGGCTCTAAATCAGGTCTCAATAAAGTATAAAAAATTAATATTACATTATGTATCTTAGACCACAACAGAATAAAACTATAAATGAAGGAAGGAAAATGTGCAAATACATATAAATTAAACAGCATGCTTCATGCTGGGCATGGTGGTGCACACCTGTAATCCCAGCACTCGGGAGGCTGAGGCAAGGCAGGAGGATCACTGTGAGTTCGAGACCAGCCTGGGCTACATAGTGAGTTCCAGGTCAGTCTCAACTACAAAGTGAGACCCTGTCTCAAAAAAACCAAAAAAAAAAAAAATAAATAAATAAATCAAATTCTTAGGGTGAACAATATATTCAGTAAAATTGAACATATGTTAGGAAGGCTACGGATGCAGCAGTGGGCCTGCCTAGCATTCAAGAGGCCTGAGGTTGGTCCCAGCACCACAAAAATGAGAACAAAACACAACACAAGCCAAAATAAAACAAAACAGAAAACAAAAAGCATAGCAAAACAAAGACTCCCCCAAAGCAACAAGGACAACAACAAAAAGCATGACAGAAGGATCAACAGCAGGACAGATCAAACAGAAAAACTAGCGAGCTTTGAGACAGACTATAATATAACTACATAACTGGAAGAAAAAAAGAGGAATGAAGAAAACTAATGGGAAATTTGGCCAGTATTAAAAAAGCAAAAATCTGGTTACTGGCATTCATGAAAGATTTGAGACTACCAAAGGAACAGAAAGCTTACTAACAGAAAATTTCCCAAGCCTAGAGAAGGACACAAATATCCAAGCATAAGAAAGTCACCAAACTTAACCCAGCAAAATTTACCTCAAAATATCTTACAATCTTACTCTCAGAGGTAAGACAAAAATATTGTCAAGGCTGCAAGAACAAACAAGTAACACCAGGATGTCTCTATGCTCTTGACAACTGACTTAGCAGAATCTATAAAGACCAAGAAGAGAGTAAGATATCTACAGAACAATACTCAAGGAACAGTGGAATACCATACCTAGTAAAGCCATCCTTCAGGAATGAAGAAAAGATGAAAGCATTTTCAGAAAAACAAAAGCTGAGACTTTTTATTCAAGAAATGATAAAGGAAGTTCTTCAACATGAAAGAGATGGTAGTAAGTAAGATAACACAGGCAGGTATAAAACTCATTGGTTCAAAGTAATTATACAAACAAATTCAGGATGCTCTAATATTGTAAGCATGGTGGGTAAACCATTCATACTATCAATAATTACCTTGAATGTAAATGGATTAAATTATCCAATTAAAATCAGAGAGTAACTGATGGATATAGGGCTTAATAAGAAATTCACTACATCTCTAATGACTTACAAATTGTAAGTGAAGAAAGAGAAGATAGGCCATGTAAATGCAATCCAAAAGAAAAGAGTAGTCATACATACATCAGATAAAAATAAATGAAAAGCAATCAAAAGAGGCAAGAATAAAGGAAATGCTGTAGGAGACTGGAATAGGCAAGTATTTTTTAGACAAGACCTCAAGCACAGGAAACGAAATCAACAATTGACAAACGAAATTGCATCAAACTGAGAGGTTTCTGCACAGCAAAGGAAGCAACTAACAAAGTGTAAGCAATGTATAGAATGGGATACACATAAAATTTTATTCCTGAAAATAACCAAAATAACCTTTCTTAACCAAATATTTTCTATTTTCTGATGTATAAATGAAGGAATAACTGCTAGAAACCTTAATTTCAAAGCTTGGCGGCAATCAATAGATGCTTACGGGTATTTGTTAAATAACTCAGAGTAACCGAAAACAAAAAAAGACTTCAGGCAATTCAAATATATATGCAAAATACAAGATTCTGAATGGAATTAGGTCATTTATTTTTAAAAATTAATCTCATTGGTACATTTTAGATATACAGTATAATGATATTCATCATTGTAGATTTGTACCATTACATAATGTATCTTGATTCTCATTTATTCCCCATCCTCCTCCCTCCCTTCAATCTTTCAACCCCTCTCTTTACAAAGACTCTATTTTCCATTTTCCATTTTCTCCTGTTACTTCCATTCCCCTTTCCTTCCCCCTTCCCCTTTGCACCTTTCTTCCTATTCCACATTATCTATTATACATTTTGATCTTTATTTACACATTGTTTCTCACCCCAGAGAAACTTGGAATCAGATTATTTAAAATAATGCATCTGACTTTAAGAACTAAAGTTATAAAAAAATGTTCTAGATGGTAAAGAACATAGATGTGTGTGTGTGTGTGTATACATATATATATATATGTGTGTGTGTATGTGAACATATATGTATTTTTTTTACAAGAAACCCATAAAAGGTTAGCCTCAAATAATTTTGCATTAAATTTATTATTTCTGACATAGCAAAAATTTAAAAGACAGGATAACTTTTGAGGGTCCAAAGTAATAGTCTACTGCAATCTAAATTAAATCATTACCATAAATGAGTTTAGAGTTACTGTAAAAATGACTTGAATATTGCTTTCTTTCCCTTTTTGTTTTTTGAGACAGGGAGGGTCTCACTATGTAGTTCAGACTGCCCTTGAACAAACACACTATGTACCCCAAGTGGCCTCAAACTTGTGGTGGCATTCCTGCCTCAGCCTCCAAGTGCTGGGATCACAGGGTGTGCCACCATGCCCTGCTTGTATATTTCTAATACAACTCTCTTCTCCACATCAGCTAAGCTGATGGAAGCAGTATATATGACTTTATCTGTTCTATACACACACTGGAGGGCCGGAGATTTAGCTCAGTGGTTCCACCACCTGCCTGGCAAGCATCCTGAGTTTGATCGCCGGTATCAAAAACAAAACACATACACTGGAAACATAGCATGTGGGAACCTCTAAATGCTAAGTTATTTGAGAAAATCACATTATAGTACAGCTCTGCAAAACTTTTGTTTATTTTAAGCTTTTATCAATCAAGTTATTTCAAAAAATAGGCAAAAACCCCCAAAATAAACCATAATCCTTTTCTCCACTGCCTTAGTTATATAAAAACAAAACAAATACCTGGCACAGATATAGAATCCTCTGCACACAAGTGACAACTGCTCCAATGCTCTGAGGTCCAAGTCATTAGACACCACCCACCGGAAGATGTACATCAGGACCTCCATGGGCAGTGCTGCAAAAGAAGGTCCTCTTTCAGTGAGTCTCCTGCATGCCACCCTACCTTCACAACCACATTCTCAGGTGTGTGTAGATTCCTAGAAACTCATACACTTATAAACACACCCTCAGCATTGCTCAGAGCTACAGCATGAGAATACTGAACTACCCAATGCCAATCAAGGGTTCCTACCATCAAGATGTAAATAATCTATTTTTTTTAGATTTGAAGCTACTTATATGAAGTACCTTTTTCTTTCGTAAAATTATTTTATCACCAAGATGTATTAAAATAATTACTATATGCATGATCCCATATTGCATTTAAACATCAAGAAATTATTTTTATCTTTAAAAAAATTTAAAATGCCCTCATCTAAAAAAAATCACGTAACAGGGCCAGGGCTTTAGCTCAGTGGTTCTGAGGCCTTGCAAGTACAAGGTCCTGAGTTCAATCCCCAGTACCAAAAAAATAAAATTAAATTAAATTAAAAAAAAATCACATAACCCAACACTTAACACATGAAAATGTGTTTCTAAATATGTAGCCTGTCTTGGGATCATTGTCCACCCTGGCTGAGATAATCCATGATACCTGTATTCCACTTTTCTCAGGGCATCTCAGCAACTGTTGACTCAACTTCACTGAAAAAAGTCTGGCATCCTTGAACACCTGCATTACAAATGCTCTTCCATTTCAGATTTTGAAAAGCTTGTTAGTATAAATAAACAGTAATTATAACCAGATCTCTCACCATATTCTGAACTAGGCAGCAATTATCTAACAAATTATCTCAGTTTTGAAGTCTGGAAAAATTCAACCTAAGCTTAAAGTGTTTCTTATTGAGTGAAATCTCAGAATCCACACCTGATATGTGAGTCTGACTGTTCTCAAGCTCAGGCTGACACAATTTGAGCACAGACTCCTGAAATGTGAGCTGCTGCTGGAAGTAGGATAAGAGATCTGCCATCTTGCTATCGTCATCGTTATCTTCAATGCTGAAAAGAGAAGAGGTGAATAAATTAAGTGCCTCAGACTATGAATATACTGTTCAGAAACTGACTTTTCACGGCACATTCATATCTGCTTTAGAAAGTCACCTAAAAGCAAACTTTTTAAAAATGTGGTAACAATTTATCTTGCTTTGCAAAGGAGTGCCATACAGTTTCCCTTCTTTCCTGGAGACTGAACCCAGGGCTGCACACATGCTGGCACTGAGCTACTATCCTCAGTCCTTCTTTATTTTGAGACAGGGTCTCATTAAGTCGTCCATGCTGGGCTCAAACTTGCAATCTTCTTGTTTCAGCCTCCCAAGCAGCTGAGATTAAGGTGTTTGCCACCATACCTGGCTCATACTATGGTTTTCAAAAAGGTAATTAGGATTTTTGGATTCAGGGGGTAAAATTTATTAGTTTTGCCATAAAGTGGACATTTCATGAGTTAGTGAAAAATCTTAAGTGGTTTGAAAATCTAATGTAAATAATCTTAATCCTTTCTAACTGGATACTATGGTTTTCAAAAAGGTAATTAGGATTTTTGGATTCAGGGGGTAAAATTTATTAGCTTTGCCATAAAGTGGACATTTCATGAGTTAGTGAAAAATCTTAAGTGGTTTGAAAATCTAATGTAAATAATCTTAATCCTTTCTAACTGGATAAAAATCAAATATACAGATATCATATGAGGTACTGTACTTACTTATCTAGGGTTTTCTAAGAGATATATCTTAACTCCAAACCTTTAAAGAGGGAAATACCTAATTTGAAAAAATCTTAGGGTCCACAAATCATCTACCAATATATGGAACTGTATAGTTAGTTAAGAGTGCTGAAAAAATGTCTAGCATTCCATTTTTGCTGAATATTAATAATGATGAAAATAGAAAAAGGCTCAGATGAGGATGAAGTTAGGAAAAAAGAAGGGCTTTTTATAGTACAATGAAAAACAAGTGTAGTTGAGGCTCGATGGACTTAGTGGCTAGTCAATCAATATTTTACAGCAAAAGGCAATAAATAAAAGCTCACTGAAGAAACTTTCCAGATCTGGTAATAAAAAATAAACTACATTCATAAAGGACTTTCAGAGTATCTGGGTTTGTACAAAGACATGGAACAGAAAACAATTTTTCTTTTGGTACTGGGGATTGAATCCAGGGTCTCATGCCTATTAGGGAAGCCTTCTTCCACTGAGTTATATCCCTAGCCAACAAATGCTTCTTTAAGGTTTTAAGACAATGTTCCTTATTAACACCCAGCACTTACAAAACATGCTAAGAGCTGAGACTACGTAACTCTACCCAAATTTACAGAACATTTAGAAAAAAAGCCTAAATGATTTATTTTGAGCATAAACTACTGAATGTTATTAACTCTAATTTGGCATAAATATTAGCTGAAAAGTTTAAACACAATCAACAGTGACTTCACTGCATGTTTATAATACGGCCTATGCACCTCTTGAACGTGAACAGACATATGCATTAGCTTAAAAACACTGGCAATAGGCACATGACAAATGTAATTTTTGCATGAGAGTAAATATAATAGCTAACATCTCCTTATCAAAACTATTTTTTCTACACAATATTCCTCCCCTCCTTTTTTTGAAAAAAGGTCAAACTACACAGTACAGAATGGCCTTGAGCTCACAATCTTCCTGCCTCAGCCTTCCAAGTACTGGACTTACAGATGTGCACTACCATGCCTGGCCTGTAATACCCATTTGAACCTAACATTCTTTCACGGGAACAAACACCCTTCCCTTCTCACACAAGTACTAACAAATTGGGCCTTGGAGGATACTGGAAGTTGGCCAAAACAGTTTTATAACTGTCCTGGAAATAGCTTCAATAGCTGTGGTTTAAAAGTATGTTTTCTTGATCTCCATCCATATTAGACCATCAATGTTACATCATGACATTGATACAAGTGGCAGCCGTGAAACAATTTCTTTCAGGGATTCATACATCTGGTACCTACACTTTTAAAGAATGTCTTTTTTTTTTTTTTTTTTTTTTTTTTTTTTCACTTTTTTTTTTTTTTTTTTTTTTTGGGACAACAGATCCAACTTGGTCCCTTGTGCTTTTGAGGCAGGCACCAGAACCACTAAGCTAAATCCCTGGCCCTAAAGAATGTCATTTTACTATGAGTTGTGATGCTATAAACATGGGTACACATGTACCACTGCAATAGGATATCTTTAACTCTTTAAGAAAGATACCGAGAAGGGGAATAGCTGGGTCAAATGGAATTTCTAGTTTTAGTTTTTTGAGGAATCTCCATTCTGATTTCCATAGTAGTCGCACCAGTTTACACTTCCATAACAATGGAGTACTACTCTGCCATAAAGACAGACAAATGAGTCATTTGTAGGAAAATGAATGTAACTTGAGACCATAATGTTAACTGAAATAAATCAGACACACAAGCTTAAATATCACATAGTCTCTTATACGAGAAACCCAATAATATAAAGAGCAAAATAAAAGATAGATAATAAGAAGTGGGAAGGGGATCAAGAGATAGAGGGAGGAGAGAGGGAGAGGAATAGAAGTGGGTGAGAAAAGGATTTAAGATTTATCAGGTACACGTACCAACTTCACACAAGGAATGTAAACATTATGCACTGCAAACATGTACTAATAAAAAAATAAAATTTAAGGCCAAACATGTTAGTTTTTAATAATGTTCTATCTATATACATTAAGAGAACAATAATCTTGTCATAGTTCAACATTTTCTTAATAAAATGCCTTTTGTAAAATGTAAAGTTTCACCAGGCACAGTGGCGCACACCTATAATCCCAGCACTCTGGTGGCTGAGGCAGGAGGATTGCTGTGAGTTCGAGGCCAGCTTTGGGCTACATAGTGTGTTCAAGGCCAGCCTGGAGTACATAGCGAGACCCTGTCTCAAAAAAACCAATAAATAAATTAATTAATTCCGCCTAGGGCCTCCGTGTCATGCCCATCCATTCAGGCCAATCTCCTGGATGGCTCTGTGAGTTGCAGCAGCCACGGCCAGCCAGTTGAAGGGAATCCAGCAGCTGCTGCAAGCCAAGAAGCGGTCACAGAGAAGGTGTCCAAGGCCCACAAGCAAAAGGACTGGAGGCTGAAGCAGGCCAAAGAAGCAGTTCAGCTGAGACTGCACAGTACTGCCTGCACGAGGAGAAAGAGTTCACGGCCAAGGAAGTGGAGGACTCAGGATCCTACAGCAACTGCAGCAGTGAAGTGGAGGAGACCCAGAAGATGGCCGTCCTCCAGGTCAACTTCCGGCAGAACAGGGAAGAAGTCCTGGATAATCTCTTGGCCTTTGTCTGCAACATCCGGCCAGAAATCCATGCAAACTACCGCATCAGTGGGCAGAAGAAAGAAGCACCTGCTCTGTGGACTGCACTGTAGATGCTCTCATGGAATATGAAGCTTTAGCAAAGTCGATTTCACTTTCTGGAGAGTAGTATATTTAACTTCTTTGGACAAACTTAGTACTTTCACTAAAGATTTCATCTTTTTACGTCATATTTCTTAGAAATTTAAGTAGTATATGATGTGTTTTCCTACACCTATAGCTCAAGCAACATGTATATTTGTTGACTTTCATTCTTAGATTTAGTAAGAAAAAGAAAAAAACATTCTTTAAAGAAAGGATTAAATAACTTTTTTTCTCTCACACTTTCTTGAAAGTCAGGGGCTTTATCTATGAAAAAGTAGTATATAGTTATTTGTAACTTGCATGACACAGCAGCCAGCCTTAAGCAGTATATTTTGAGAAATGATTAAAACAGCAAATACTAGTATACTTGCTTAGGCTGCCCTTCCTTTATCTTAACCAAAATTACTAGATGAGCTGGGTGTGGTGGTGCACACTTGTATTCCCAGCACTTGGGAGGCTGAGGCAGGAAGATTCTGAGTTTGAGGTCAGCTTGGGCTACATAGTAAGAGCTTTTTTGTTTGTCTGTTTGTTTGTTTGTTTGGTACAGGGGCTCTAACTTGGGACCTTGCTCTTGCAAGGCAGGCGGTGGAACTACTGAGCCAAACCCCCGGCCCTGGGCTACATACATAGTAAGATCCAGGCCTGCCTAGACTACACAGTGAGACCTTGACTCAAATGAAAACAAAACAAAACAATTTACTAGATGACAGGACTCAAGAACTTGTTACTTATTACTTATTACTTATTATTTGGTGTGTTGATAATCATTTACAAGTAAAGACTGCCATGCAAAAAAAAAAACAAAAAACACAAACATGTACTAATTTTTAAAAAAGAAAAAAAAAGAAGACTAGTATAATGAAACCCCATTTACTCATTACCCAATTTCAACCATTAGTGACATTTTTTTCCCTAATTACATTTTAGCACTTTGAAAAGGTTTAATTTCCACTTTCACTAATCACTGCTTTTATTTAAAATTTCATATTTTAAAATGTACAGTTCTATAGTTTAATCTTAAAATTTCTCTAAACAAAATTATTGTAACTTTATGAGGAAGAATACACTCAACACACTACATAGCTTAACAAAATGAGCACCACCCTTTTATGTTAAGCGTCAGCATGGCAATGCATTACTGCACATCAAGTTTATACCCACTAGCTGTTTCCAACGCCATCACCTTCTGGAGACCGGGTGTAAGTAATCTTGAACTCTATATCAGGCACAAGTTGCATAGCCCTACGATAAAACTTGATGGCTAAAAGAAGAAATAAAGCTAAATTAGCCAAGACCGTACAATTCTGTCATTTCCTTTAATTATCCTTAACTATATTTTAATTTGGTAACCTTCACAAATCGAAAAATTCTCTTTTTCCATATCCAACAGTAGTTCAGTGAAAAGCAATTCACTTTATAGCTCAGAAAGTAATCTTTTAGGTTAACATGACAGAAATTTAAGATGTATTTTACTGATACAATCCTGCGCTTTCCATATTTTTTTCACTCTCTTATGTCTCACCAGAAGTAATTTTACGCTACACCAACGAAAACACTTCTAAGGAAAAAATTTTGTTTTTTAATGACAGAGTTGGGGAAATTCAAATGTTTTCTACTGGGTATAATTCAGAAAGGACTTCTTTGAATTTAGCCTTCAAACCCAACTTCCTTTAGCCCAGCTGACTCTTGTTTACTTAAGTAACCTTTAAAATTCATTTTTAAACAAATCTCCCAGCCTGGTGGTTCTGGATGTAATATAATCTCCCTTCACAGACACCACTGGAACCTGGGGCTATAGGAAGTGATGAGCTCTCTTCCTCTTGGATGAGATCTGTTCAATTCGATATCTTCTGCCAGGTTCTATTACACTGGGTGAGTTACTATACAGTAAGTATTGAGCTAGGAATCTTACAAGTTAATGGAGACTGTGTAGGGGCTTAAAATCTGTGTAAAAACATGACTAGAAGGAGGGCCGGGGATTTTAGCTCAGTGTTTTGCTGTCTGCCTTGCAAGCACAAGGTCCCAAGTTCGATCCCCAGTACCAAAAAAAAAAAAGACTAGAAGAAATTTGCAAATAAATGTAGCAGTGAATTATGTTATTTTTGGGGCATTTTTCAAATGTTTAAGCACAATTCCCTTTACTATTACAAAAAATGAGAGGATATAAGAAAATGGAAAGCTATCCCCTGCTCCTGGGTAGGAAGAATCAACATAGTGAAAATGGCCATACTACCAAAACTGCTATAAAGATTCAATGCAATACCAATTGAAATCCCAACACAATATTTCACAGAACTAGAAAGAAGAATCCAAAAATTCATTTGGAACCATAAGAAACCTAGAATAGCAAAAGCTATCCTAGGCAACAAACACATGGCAGCGGGTATAACAATTCCCAATTTGAAACTATACTACAAAGCCACTGTGATAAAAACAGCATGGTACTGGCAAAGAAACAGACCTGAGGATCAGTGGAACAGACTGGAAGACACAAAAACAACTCCAGATGCACTCAGCTACCTCATCTTTGACAAAGGAGCTGACCATCCCCACTGGAGGAAAGATGGCCTCTTTAATAAATATGTTGGAAAAACTGGATCTCAACCTGCCAAAGATTAAAACTAGACCCTTATCTGTCACCATGCACTAAATTAAAATCCAAGTGGATTAAAGACTTAAATATAAAAAAAGAAACACTAAACTTGCTGGAAGATAAGTTAGGCAGAACTCTGGAAGACATTGGCATAGGAAAAGACTTTATGAACAAATCCTCAGTAGTACGGGAACTAGCAGAAAGAATCAACAACTGGGATCTCATCTTATTAAAAAGCTCTGTACTGCAAAAGAAACCATCAACTAAGAGACAACCTACAATGTGGGAAAAACTTTTTACCTGCTGCTCCTCAGACAAAGGACTATGATCTAAAATATATAAAGAACTCAAAACAACCAGAGCCCCCAAATATAAAGACCCAATTCTAAAATGAGCATCTGAAATGAACAGACATTTCTCAGACAAAGAAAAAAAAAGCAGCAAGTAAATACATGAAAAAATGCTCCACATCACTGGTCATTCGAGAGATGCAGATGAAAACAACTCTGAGATTTCACCTCAACCCACAAAGAATGGCTGCTATCAAGAAATCACACAACAACAAATGTTGGCGCGGTTGTGGGGAGAAAGGAACCCTTCTCCATTGTTGGTGGGAGTGCAGACTGGTGCAACCACCATGGACGTCAATATGGAGATACCTCAAAGAACTAGGATTAGAGGTTCCATTTGACCCAGCCATCCCTCTGTTGGGTATCTTTCCAAAAGAATTGAAAAAATCATATCACAGTGATATATGCACACCCATGTTCATAGCAGCACAGTTTGTAATAGCTAAAACTTGGAAACAGCCCATCTGTCCATCAACTGGAAACTGGATAAAGATGAGGTTTTTCTATAAAATGGAATACTACTCAGCCATAAAGAATGAGAAAGTAGATTCATTCATAGGGTTCATTTTGAGGATGTACTCCTAAGTGAAATAAATAAGTAACACATATGTAAATACCGAATAGTTTCTCTGGTGTAAAAAACTAAAATAGCACGCAAGATCCTAACAGGGCAATTAGCAATGTGAAATAGGAAGAAAAGGACCAAAGGTGTAAGGACAGTGAGAAGGATAGGGAAAGGGGAACAAGGGAAAAGGGAAAAAAATATGAGAAAATGTAAAAACAGAATTAAAGTGTTTGGGGGGGGAGGGGAGAAGGGGGTGAAGGGAGGGTGCGGACAAGGGGAAAAATTGAGAACCAAGACCTGGCATGTAAAGGTACAAGATCCCAGTAATGAATGTAACTGTACTGTCTATCTAGAATGTACCAACAAATTCAATTAAAAAAAAAATGAAAGCACAATCACAAAGCTGATATGGTAAACATTATTTTATGTATGCATTTCTACTGGGTTAATAAGAGACAAAGCCAAAGCTTGTTCCTTTAGTGAAACTAGAAATTAATATCTATATATTCCTTGATTTATCCTTTGTATTTCCCTACTCTGATTTTCACCTGTGAAAGGAGTATATCCTTTTTTTTTTTTTTGGTTCCAGGGATCGAACTCAAGTCCTTGTGCTTGTGAGGCAGGTGACGGAACCACTGACCTAAATCCCCGGCCCGAAAGGAGTATATCTTATTTTAAAATAAATACATTAATGAAGTATTAACAAATACTAAAACTAAATATAGAAAAACATTTATTTTACTCATCCTATCAATATGCTTCCCAGCAATATTTTTTTGGAAAGACACAAGTCATATAAAATAGAAATTTTATATTTAAAAAACAATTTCAATCATAGGGAGACTGATACTCCGATACTCCCTATCAAATAAGTTGTAGTAAAAAAAATGATTAGTGATAAAGAGCTGTTATTCAGAAACGATGTAACCACACAATCCTGGACCCCGAGGCTTACCTTCATAAAGAGCTCCATTTTGTTCTTCTTCTACTGCTTTTAGGAACAGTTCTCGAGCCTATAAAGATAAAAAGTAAAAAGCAATTTTTGACCATCTGTATAAAACATGAATGCTGGGCCAGGGATTTGGCTCAGTGGTACCCACACCTGACTCACAAGCTCAACGTCCTGAATTCGATCTCTGGTACGGGGGCGGGGGGGAAGGGAATAAAAAGGCAGAAGGTTTTTTTCAGTGCTAGAGCAGTTGGACATCCAGGGGCAAAATAACGTATTTCAACTTTAACCTCATAGTTTATGTAAAAATTAACCTGAAATGGGTCATAGATTTAAATTCAAAACCTATAAAGCTTTTAAAGAAAACAAAAAGAGAATCTTGGCAACATAAGACTATGGAAAGAGTTCTTATACGTGACATGAAAAGCACAATACACAAAAAGGAACGTTGAACTAAACCTCATCAAAAAACTTTTGCTTTGCAAAGTGCCTGGGTAAAGGGATAAAAGAATAAACTAAATAAGGGGAGAAATTATCTATAGCTCATATTCAAAAATGAGCTTGCACCTAGAATACATTAAGAAATCCCAAAAATAAACAATAAAACAATAAGCAATTCATCTAGAAAAAGCACAGTTATTCACAGAGGACATGTGGATGGGAAACAACAACTTGAAAAGATATTCAACATCATTAGTCATTAGGGAAATACAAATTAAAATTATAATAAGCTATTACCATCTACTATGCGGTATGGCCACAGTTATAAAGAACACTACCAAATGCTGATGAGGATACACATAAACTGGATCACTCATGTATTGTAATGAAAATATGGCAGAGACACTGGAAAAGTTTGGCAGTTTCTTTTAAAGCCAAGCATGTACTTTCAAAACCCAGCAAACGCCCTCTTGGGCATTCATCCCAGAGAAACGAGTTTGTTATAGATTAACCTAAACACAAATATTTATAGCAGTTTTATTTCTAGTGGCCAAAAACAAAACAACTTACATGTTTTTCAACCAGTCAATAGTATAGTACAGATTGGAACATTTACACCACGCAGTACTACCCTGCAATAGGTAAAAGCAAACTACTGGTGTACAACTAGGATGGATCTCAAGGGAATTATGCTGAGTGAAAACAGCCAATCTCAAAAGGAGATTTTTTTTTTTTTTTGGTACTGGGAATTGAACTCGGGTCCTTGCTCTTGCAAGGCAGGTGGCAACACACTGAGCTAAATCCCCAGCCTCAAAAGGCTCTATATTGTATGATGCCATTTATCTAACATTCTTTGAATGCAAAAATTACAGAATGGAGTACAGACTAGTGGTGTTTGCCAGTGGTTAAGAATGGCTAGTGTTATGGCTTGTATCTAGATGTCCCAGCAAAGCCTCTTTAGGTCATAAATAGGAGCTTTTTGGAAGTGGCTGGATCTAGGGTATGAGATGCTGGGAGTGATTCACAGTGCAATGTTTAAGGGTGTGAGTGCTACCTACCCTAAGAGTGGATAGCCTGGATAAAATATAAGAGACAGAAAGAAGGCTGTTACTGGTGCTTGTTGCTTGCAGTTTGCTTGCTTCTGCCTGCCATGAACTGTTTCTCCTCTTAAGACAACCTTCTGCCAGACCACAGTGCCTTGGAGCCAGTCAACTATGCACTGAACCCTCTACAAACTGTGAGCCAAAATAAACCTTTCTTCCTATAACTTTAGTTGTCTCAGCAATGAGAAAGCTGGGGAAGGGGAAGTGTAATAAAGAGGAGGGGTTTTTGTGGTGATGAGACTGTATGTGAAAGTTGCCAGAATCTAAGAGTCACAAATGACAACACTAGCAAAAGCAGCTGAGGAATCATGAAGGGATGGCTCCATGCACAATGTGCCTGATAACATGAACTACCACAAGATATCTGCCTAGCAATTATTTGCCTATTCAATCTTGGGCTGATGCCACTTTTGTTACTAATTCTTGTAGCTAAGGATAATTGTTTCAAAACAACTTTTGTAACCTTGCTCATGTTACCTTTAAAAACTCTTGTTTCCTTTGCCTCATCAAATACACCATGATTGTAGCACACATATTCCAGACTGTAATCTGTTCATTCTACAATAAAATCTTTTTTTGTAAGAGCTACTCTTTGTTGTCATTTAAGCTGACAAGTTCTGTATGATTCTGGTAGTGGTGACACAAAGTTACCCATGTGTTACAGTTTATATCTAGATGCCCTCTCTAACCTACATGCGCTGGTAAGGGGGACTCTTGGGGGGGGGTGACTGGATTATGGGTGCATGATACTCATCAACAGATTACTCCACTCATGTGCTGATAGCTAGATGTGATGCTGGAAGGTGGTTCACTGGAGGTGTGGCCTGGAAGGGTAATGTCGCCATCTCTCCTGATTATTTTTTCTGGCTCCTGCTTGCACTGCCATGAGCTGTTTCTCCTCTGCCATGCTGCCCTGCCTTGGAGCCAAATGACAACGGACTGAAACTTCTACAAACTGAGCCAAAACAAAATTTTCCTTCTTATGAGTTGTGGGTGTCAAGTATTGTATCTCAGTGATGTGAAAGTAATTAATACACACTTTGGTTCCAGAGTGTTGTTGCTGTAATGCTACCTGACCATGTAGTTCATTTGGAACTGGATTGGGGGAGGAGTTTGGAAAGGTTTAAAGATGCCTGCTGAAGAAGCAGCCCTGTAATGCTGTGAGCTGAGTTTGCTGGGAGAATCTGGTTAGAGCTCAGAAGACCAGAATGCTGAGTAATTCAGCCAGTAAAGACCATGATCAGGAGTTTTCTGTTGGGAAGTACTCCAGACTATTAAATTCTAGGATCTGTGTTATGCTCTGGCAGAAAATCTGTCTACATTTTGCACCTGTCCTGAGACTTTGTGGGAGACTGAGATTAGGGACATTGGACTAATTAACCTGGCAGAAGAAATTTCAAGGCAGTCTAATTTTGCAGCTGTGGCATGGCTATTGTTGGGGGCTTTTAACCAGCTCTACATTAAGAATCAAGAGGACCAAGACAGCCTGTCATGTAAAGGTACAAGATCCCAATAATGAATGTAACTGTACTGTATACCTAAAATGTGCCAATAAACTCAATAAAAGAAAAAAAAAAAAAGAATCAAGAGTAAAGAGCCCAGGTGAATGATTTAAAAGTTTTGAGTTAGGCTAGAAAGTAAGCCATAGTAAAGTTAGGGCCTGCAAAGATGGAGCAGAGTAGAGCTTGGGTGCTAACAAGATTAACATTAAAAAGCTAAGTACTATACTTTACAACAGCACAATAGGAAGGGCAACTGAGGAACTAGTAAGGACATACCCTATAGCCCTAGGGCACCACGCTCCTTTGGTAGCTGCCTAGGGAATCTGCTACTTGGGGTTGGGATTTGATGTTTAGTGCTCAGCCGTAAGATACTCAGAGACTCTTACACTCCTAATAGAAGGAAGCCTGGCTACCACTCCAGCTGTCAGTGGACCCTGGTGTCATCCATGTGGTACTAGTTTTAGATGCATGCAGAATGCAAGAGTTTTGAGGTCAGGAAGGCTTCTTCCACCCAGATTTCAAAAGACCTGAGAAGCAAGGAAATGTGCCCGAGAGGGCAGTGCATGAAGCTGTGAGTGAAGCCCAAGTACAGTGGCCCCCAACATCTGAGGAAAGCCAAAAGGGGTTGGCCCAAAAGAGAAGCCATAGGGTAATCACTGGCAGTACCATGGGAGCAGGGCTACCCATGCCCTTCAGAGTTCACATTCCACAACTTGCCCTGGGTATTGGACATGGAACTACAGGATTTAATGTTTGCCCTACTGAGTTTCTGCTTGCCTTGGTCCCATTCCTTTCTTTAATCCTAACTACCTTCTGGAATGTAAATGTTTACCCTGTGCTTCTATATGAGAGTAGTGTTTAACTTTCTTTTTGAATGTTATAGGGGCTCAAAGAAAAGTTTGCCTTAAATCTCAGAGACTTTGGACTTAAAACTTTTCAGCAATACTGAAACTGTTAGGTAACTTAGAATTTGGCAACTCTTAGAGATGGACTAAACAAATTTTGCATAAAGAGATATGAATGAGTCTTTTGGGGTCAGGGGTGGAATGCTGTGGTTTATATCTAGATGTTCCCTCAAAGCTTCACATGCTCGTAGGTGGGGCTTTGGGGAGATGACTGGATCACAAGGGCATGATCCTCATCAGTAGACTAATGAGTTTATAACTAAATGTGAAGTTGGGAGGTGAAGCCCAGTCAGAGGAGGTGGGTCACTGAGGCATGGTCTGGAAGAGTGTCTCCCTCTCTCTCCCTGGCCTCTCTCTGCTTTCTGCCTGCCATGCCACGACTGAGCCAAGCCAAACTGTATTGGAGCCAGCTGACTATGGACTGACACACCAAAATAAACCTTTCCTCCTTTAATTTGTAGGTGTTGGGTATCATGTCTCAGCAATGCGAAAGTACCATGTCACATAATTTTCCTTAGTTTGTTTGTTTTTGCAGTACCAGAGACCGAACTCAAGACCTTGCACTTGCAAGGCAGGAACAGTGCCACTGAGCTAACTCTCCTGCCCATCACATAATTTTAAAGAACCATTTATATGTATACACATGGATAAGTGCTTGTAAACCTAGGAAATCTGAGTAAGCTCTGTAGATTGTACCAATGTCCATGTCCTACTTTTTGATACTATGCTACTATTATACGTTACTGGGGGAGGAGGCTGGGTAAAGGATTTACAGAACTTCCCTCCATCTGTAAGCCTGTAATGATTTTAAAATAAAAATTACAGGCCAGGGATTTAGCTCAGTGGTTCTGCCACCTGCCTCTCAAGCACAAGGTCCCAAGTTGGATCCCTGGTACCAAAAAAAAGAAAAAAAAAAAATTACAATAAAACAAGTCTGAAAGGTTTTAGTCATCATGGTAATGTTAATTATTTAATCACTAATTGTAAACAGAAACCTGAATCAGATGGTGTGAAGATGGCACAGCCTCCATGAAAGAGGAAGACAAAATGAACTATGTACTGGTGTCTATTCCAAAAACAGGAACCAAGACAGAAGCAAGCAGTTGCATAGCATTCAAAATACTTTCATTGTGAGCACTTAATACATTTTTCAGGATAAGGACATGATTAATACAAAATATTGCATGAACTTAAGACTACTTCTGAAGAGGTATACATTTGAATAAACCTCATTTTGGGCTCCTGTTAAAAATTCAGAAGGCTGGGGATTTAACTCTGCTTCTACCATCTGCCTCTCAAGCACAAGTTCAATCTCCTCCGGTACCAAAAAAAAAAAAAAAAAAAAAAAAAAAAAAAAAAAAAAAAAAAAAAAAAA